CACCCCCGTGGGGTGCAACGAGAAGGGGAAGGTCGGTGGTGGACGCGCCGCAGGTGCGGGCGGGCGGGCTGACGAAGCGAAAGGGAGGATGAGGAGGTAGGGAGCGTGGTTTACGAAGGGTGGCTGTCGAGAGGAGTTGGGGGGCGCCGCGGCGCCTCTCTTGCCTCGAGCGCAGTGCGACGTCGCGACGCGCCACGTGCGGTGGCAACACACACCGGGGGAGGTACAACGTACAAAAGTCACTTTCTTCCTTCCCATCGTGTATCGTCGCGCTCAACGCCGTTTTCATCCTCGTCCACACGCGTCTTTATCGTGCTACACCGGTCCAATTCTTGATATTCCGAAAATTTCGTGTCCTATTACCGCAGGGTTTTGCTATCGTAGTGTTCACCGATTATATAAGGGGCCATCGTTCTAAGTAGTCTCGGTGAGGGTGTGAGAGCGAGAAAGAGAGACAAAGGGAGTGAGGTAAAGAGAGAGAAAGAGAGAGAGAAAGAGAAAGAAAGAGAGAGAGGGAGTGAGAAAGAAGGGGAGAGGGAGGACGGAAAGAAGGAACGAGAAAGAGAGGGAAGGAGAGAGGCACGAGTCGAAGGACGGAGCAATATCGCACAAGAAAAGGCGAAAGGTATGGAGAGGGGAGGCGAGTAAAAGAGAGGGCAAGAAGGGGATCGAGAAGTCGATGAGAAAGAGAGGAAGACGCGGGTTGCATTTCGAATTAGCCTTTGCTAATCTAGCCGAGTATTAGGTTACCGGGCCTTGGATCGTGTTTGTGAGTAAGCGTGCGCGTGTGTGTATTCGAAAATAAGAGGACAACCGAGTCGACGATATTGCGTATTTTCGTCGACCTAGAGAATGTTTATTATTCGCGAGGAGGTCGAAAGCTTTGGAAACGCGACAATATCTTAACGACGCACATTACGTTCGGTATCGTGTCGCGTTGCGCACGCTTGCCTTGCGTTTCGCGAGTCGTCGACACGATGGATCCTTGCGAAGCCACCGATACGAGTGAAAAGAAGATGCGTTTGTAATTTTTCTATCGTATTTATGCGTTCTCAAACGTGAGTCGAACGACGTATTATTCGGCGAGAACATCGCGAGTGCTTTTTCGAACGATCGTCCTCGTGACGTGTGACGTTGCACCATTTTCGCGCTCAAAAAAACGAACCGTTGCTCGTGACTCTGTGATTTTGAATCGTTTTATCATCTGAGACTGTATTTCGATGTGATTTGGACGTGAATAATCGATCATTCATCTTGAAAAACTTGTGGTAAGTACATTTTCCGTTTTCTCTTTTAATTTTCCGTTGTTTCGTTCTTTCGATACGTGACGAATAGCATTTAGGTTATCTTGCATCGTGTACAGGTTACGTGAACGCGTTTCGTATTCAATTAAAAAGAATTAAATGTTATATTTATCTAATTAATCCTAGTGTATGATAGTTTTAAGAAATTTTAAATCAATTTTACGAGTATTTGTTCCTTCTTTCTTAAAATATCTATAATTTTAAATCGATAATAAGGATATTCATCTACGTAATTTTTACTTCGTTTTTTACATTCAAATATCAGATTTATCATTTCCTTTATTTTTTAAGATACTTAACATCAGATATCTATGCGTTAATACAGATATCTATGCGTTTAAAAAGTGAAATTTACTTTCATACTTCATAATTCATACTTTCCAATGCTGATCATATCTAATTATAATCGTAATATGTACATAATAAGTATGTATTGTTGAACTATTGTTAATAAAAAGCAAGCATTAAGTAATATGATAATTAGACTGAAATTATAAATCTGAAATATGTCGATGTAAAATACGATAATAAATAATTCAAAGAGATGGAAATATATATTCGTTGAACGCGATGACTAATCAGAAAATCACCGTGTACCGGAATGGCTCGGGTTATCTTTTCGTTTTGTGAAAGTGTTTACAATTAAAAGGCAGTTGTGCTACCTCGGGGAGTTGTATTTAACTTTGCTTAACTAAGTTCTCGATCCGTTGACGGAACGCCCGGGGGATTTGAAACGTCGACAGTGTAATTCACATTTTTTTCGCTGACTTTCGGTTTTCGTCTATTTCTTCGTCATTCTCTTGGCTATTCAATTTCTTTTATGATATTATTATTTCGTTTATTTTTTTTCCATTCATATTCTTTACAATTTTTCGTTCATTTTTCATCAAATCCATATCAAACATTTCTCGGGAAAATCTTCTGGAATATTCGTTTTGTTTGACGTCTTTTACAATTCAGGTATCAAATATGGTCGTGTAACCAAAAGTTAGGTTAGGTTAGATTTTGATCTCTATCGTTATATAGGAATAAATGCATCGTTATTAATACATTCGAAATATATTGTTACAAATACTCGTTGCGTTGGTTCTATTTTATTTTGTTTCGAAAATACGTTATATAAAAAACTGCTTTCGCGTA